TCAATCCTTGAGAATCTTACAGTTGGACAATAGTAGGTTGGGAGAAGATGAGAATGCAATGGGCTCCCTCGGACATTTGCCCAATCTGGTATCACTTATTCTCTATCGTGCTTATGAAGGGGAGACAATATGTTTTAAGGTTGGAGGATTTCGAAAACTCCAGGACTTAGAGCTCGGGCAATTAACAAGACTGAAATGGGTTCGAGTGGAAGAGGAATCAATGCCTAGTCTCAGAAAACTGCGCTTAGGTGGTTGCAAACTGATGCAGGAGTTGCCTTCGGGCATCCAAAACTTGACCAGACTTGAATATCTTGGGTTTTTTGAAATGTCTGATGAGTTAATGCACAAAGTACAGAATTTGGATAAGCGGAGTGAAGATTATCAGACAATTTCTCATATCCCTCAAGTTGTCATTGGTCACTGGATTGATGGTCGGTGGGAAGGCACGTTCCTCTAAGAGAAGAGAAGCTAAGAGACAACTCTTTGCAGCTTTCAACATTAACTGATATTCAGTCAACTCATCTCTTGTATAAGTCTCAGGTTGCTTACTAGCTTTTCCTTTTATTTCATGGGCTCTCGTTAACCTTTTCCTTTCTACTGCTTATTACATTTGTATCAAATCATATCATGAAATAGCTCAATTCCTCGAACATAGTGTGTGTTCATATATATGGATTTAGATTTCCTTTTAATAGTTGGCCCCATCAAACTTGCTCTGGTTAAGTAAAACATAGATCAGAGCACCTACTACAGAAAAGAGAAGGCAGTCTTCATTAAGTTAATTTGAAAGTGTATGAAGCAGTTAGTGAAATTAGTTTGTATGTATAACAACTTTTGAATGAAATTTGGTTCTTGATCTTAGAAATGCATGCCTATAGAATATGCAAATGGAAAAAATTTTCAGAAAATAAGGGATTTTGCCCCTTCTCAACCTTAACCACAGATTAATGTGCCTTTAGTCAATAAACAGGTTTAGTAAGCACATGCTACTGCCTTCAGCTCCTAGAATAGAAACATAATGCAAGAAAACTTGTAAAATATATTACTTGACTGATATGTCAATAGAAAACATGCAAAATAATATCATAAAACACTATTCAAGCTTATTTACAATTTTTTTTAGGTTATTTACAACTTATTCCTTTCTAGTGAAGTGAAATTACAGTCACCTTACTCGAGTTGTAGTCATGCATAGGTTTTCTCTGTCACACAAAAAGTTGCAATAAAAAAACATGATAAAAAAAAAAAAGACCATTGACTTAAGTTCATATTGAAATAGTAACAATCAACCTCAATTCCTCAAAATATGCGTATGTACAAGTATGGATTTAGATTTTCTTTTTCCAGTTAACTCCATCAAAATTTTTCTGGTTCAGCAAGACATAGAACAGAGCATCTACCGAAGAAAAAACAAGATCAAAGTGTATGAAGCATAAAAGATGAAGTTTGTCAAATTAGTAAAGCTTCGATAACACCTTTCAAAGTCCAAAGTCCCAACTGAAGGTTCAGTGTTCCTTTTTTTTTTTCTTTCTATATTCTTAGTTTGTATGTATATTTTTCTCAAATAAAATTTGACTGATAGTGCTTTGATATCACAAAACACTATCCAAACTCATTCACAGCTGATTTCCTTTCTATTGAAGTCAAATTACAGTCACCTTACTCAAAAGGAAATTATAATGCGTTACTTGCATCTTTGAACTTTCTTTGACCTGTACTCATGCATAGGTTTCCTCTAGCACACAAAAAGTTGCAATCAAGAAACATAATAAAAAAAATAAGACCATTGACTTGAAAAGAGAAATATGGAAAACAAAAAACGAAACACAAGAAGAAGGGAAAAAAATGGTGAAAACAAAGGGTTATATGTAGAAGATCACATTTGCGATGATTTGTCCTGTAACCTAAAGAAGTTCCACTCAAAGACATTTATAAAGATAAAATATTACACTTCCATTTTCTGTCGGCAATTTAGACGTAGTATGATGTGCTGATTATCATGCTAAATTCTTAGACTTGAGGATTACAAGAATTTGATTGTCTTTCTGACGCCAACTTTCTCCTCTGCCGGTGGTTTTATTTAGCCTCATAGCTATAATATTTAGAGCCAATTAATTGAAACAACATAAAATGGAATTCTAAATTAAACTATGGTTTGATTGATTAAGGTGCCCTCCTGGCTTCTAATTTTTAATTGGCTTCGAGGATTTTGACTATATGATCATTCTTTTTCATGTATTTTGGTATTTCCACATAATTCTTGCAAGGATTTTGTTCTTTCTAGCGTTTGATATGTTTTGTTGTTTGCTGCAGCTTGTTGTTTCCTTTTATTTATTTATTTTTTTCAGCTGTATATACTTTGTTCTATCGCTTCTGCAAAACAACCAACCACACTTGTTATGGTGCTTGTGTTCTTGAACCTGAAATGTGTAAACTCTAATGTGATTGAGAACACGTCATTAAATGCCGGGATGTTTTCCTAAATTGAATTTGAATCCTCGATTTTGGAAGTGAATAACTCTAAGCAACTCTTTGTGATTTTCAAGAAGAGCTAAGCTAAAACTTGGCATTATATATCACAGCAGAAAGTTGGAGGTTCACACTCAAACTTGACAGTGTTGCGATGAACACAGCATGGAACCTGTTTCAATCAATGCGATTCAGATACCACAGGCCATGTAAACTGATGCCTTTGGGTTCTATGATATGCCTATTGAGCTAATGCACAAAGTACTGGATTTGGATAGGCAAAGTGAAGATAAACATATAATTAATTTCTCATATTCTTGAAGTATGCATTGGATGTTGGGAAAATGATCTCAATGGGCTTCCTTATCAGATTCATTTAGAATTCAAAATCAGGCTCAGTAAAACTTCTATTTTAAATATTTAAGTGGATTGGATATTCTGGAAATGAAGTGAAAATAACCACAGTAAAAGCATCTTGACAATCTGTACCATCAACAAGGAGATTCATACAACAACAGGGTTTTAAAAGTGCAGTGGCAAAAAACATTTGAGTTCACCAGTTTGCCAAACATATGTACTATTACAGAATAGAATTAAAGGAAAAAAAAAAATGTCACCATATATAGATACACAACCTCATATGCTTATTTTTGTCATCTACTTCTGGTTGAGGAAATACTACAGCAACAGGGTCAATAAAGAAATCAACATGCTCCCTTGGCTTGACTTCAAAGTCTCTCATCTAGTTCCTTGTTGGCAAAAAAAACCATCCTTGAAGAAAGAAGGGATGTAATACGTGTAAATGATTTGAAGATATTAGTTTGTTCATTTTGTTTTCTCTTAGTCCTAGTTAGTAGGCATTTGTAGTGTACTTATATAATACTCGTTCTTATGTATCATACAAAAAACTCCATATATTGCCTAGATTTCAAAAATACTTAGAAAAATACTCATACTTTTCAATTAACTCTATGAAACACGTAATAAATTTTTGTCATGTATTATACTTTGTGAATTACATTTCAATTTTTTTTAAAAAAAAATTAAAATTTAATGATAATGACATGTTCATGAGTTATATACAAAATAAGAGCAACATATAATACAAAATTGTAGATTTATACATATTTAAATAATATGGTAAATTTTTTTAATAAATTTAACATCTCATACATTAAAATAAGTTTAATATTGGCATAGAAGTGGCATATTCTTTGAAAACTATAGTAAATTTTTTTTCAGTTCCATAATTTTCAAATATGTTCATACTATACATGTACAAATTTATATGAGTAATTTTGTCAAACACGCCAAATTTTTAATCATACTTTTGAAAATAAATCTTGTATAATAGGCATACATATACCTCGTATTAAACCCATACCATATTTTACAATCTATGCTCTTAATGCTATAAGTAAAATACGTTGGACCTTAAATGAACAAATTGACTATATATCATCGTTTGAGGATCTAGCTTTCAAAAATCACATTGTCCATAGGTTAGGACATGCCCAAGGCTGGTCTAGTGCACACTGCACAGTGCCTTGTAAACATATTTTAACATGCCCTAAGGGTTTAGCACTAATTGGACAAGCTTACCAAATCGGATATTAAACAAATTAACTAGATTTTTAATTAGCGAAGCTCTACCATCTTTAATTATGTCCTTGGGATGAATATTTAAGGGTTGGAAGTTGGACTAATCCAAAATGCACAGAAGTTAGCTCAAAATACCACCTGCCCCAACAAACATTAATGAGCAAGAAATTAAAAAAAAAAAAGAAAAAGAAAAAAGAGACCCTTAAAAATGAGAGATTTATGGCTAAATCCATCCTCATCCATAGATTGTGACAAAAAAAATTAATAAATCTCTTGATTGACTCCATTCCTTGACTAGTTTCTGAATTGTAGTGTCTAAGCAAACTGTGTCTATTAATTGTATTGTGTGGATTAAATGCCTATGAATACAGGCTTCTATCAGTATATGATGAAATATAAACAAAATGTTGTTCTTTTCATTTTCTTTTTCTCGTGGTATCGGTGCAAATGAAGAGATTCTAGCACATTGTTAACGTTTAGTACTAAGTTTATGCTCTTTTTGTTCACTTCAACATTTTGTTCAACATCAGCACTTACTTCAGGTTTGGTCATCACTAATTCAGGGACGAAATCCTACCACTAAATCTCCCGTATGAGTAGTTTCACTTCACAAGGACATTCAATTGACTTTGACCTTCCTCTTTCGCAATTGCCAGGCACCCCTACACATTGCGCATCTTGGCCAATAAGAATCCGTTAGTGCTATGATTTTTTGGGAAACCTCGTGATAATGTTCAACTGTCTAACTTCCGTTGATTGGTTCTTGGAGCACTTTAGAAATTTCAGAAGCCAATAGAGCATCAAAAGGAAACTGCAGCGACAGCGTTGCTTGCCAGTTTCAATACTTTTTCCTCTATAAATTAACCCTGCACGAAGCTGCAGCCTATAGGCACATTTCTGCATCTGTTCAGCTCATCAATTTACGGTTTCCATCCAATTTTGCAGCAGTAGTCTACTATCCTAGAGTTGGAAATGGATGTGAAAAGCAAGATTTTGATCATTGGCGGCACTGGAAACATCGGGAAATATTTAGTGGAAGCGAGCGCAAAAGCAGGGCACCCAACGTTTGCACTGGTCCGAGAAAGCACAATTTCAGATCCTAAGAGGGCAGCCATCATCGAGAGTTTCAAGAGTTTGGGAGTCATATTTCTTCATGTGTGCTGTTATTTCTTTCTTCGTTGTCTAAATAGTGTTTCAATTTTTTTTCAAGAAATTATAGAAACTGACATGTACGTATGGACTGAACAGGGAGATCTACACAATCATCAGCAGTTGGTAAATGCAATCAAACAAGTTGACATAGTGATCTCTGCAGTCGGGGGAGATTTGGCAGCTCATCAAGTTAAGATTATTGAAGCAATTAAAGAAGCTGGAAACATCAAAGTAAGCACAATACAGTGTTACAAATTCTTTCTTGATTTTTATTTTTTGCGTTTGTCCCTTTGTGAGTTGTGACTTCCATATTCCTAAAGAAGGAGCTGTATTTGGTTTCAGAGATTTTTACCTTCTGAATTTGGGGTTGATGCGGATCGTGCGAACGCTGTTGAGCCTGCTGCTAGCTTAAACAGGACCAAGGTTGAGATCCGCAGAGCTATTGAGGCAGAAGGGATACCTTACACTTATTTAGTATCTAACGGATTTGCTGGTTACTTGAATTATATCCTCAACAACTTTGGAGACTCTTTCTCTGCAAGTCCTCCCAGAGACAAAATTGTCATTCTTGGCGATGGAAATCCAAAAGGTATCCGAAAGGGGCTTGTCTGCTGCATATCTTGATTGGTTTAGTATCATCTTTTAGAGTTCTCAATTTTTTCGTTAATTTCATGTTTCGTTGCAGTTGTTTTCACCAAGGAAGAAGACATTGCTGCGTACACCATCAAAGCAGCAGATGACCCAAGGACTCTGAACAAGAGTGCGTACATTACACCCCCTGCCAACACCATGTCCTACAACGAAATAGTATCATTGTGGGAAAAGAAAATTGGCAAGACCCTCGAAAAGATCTACGTTCCAGGGGACGAAGTTCTTAAAAAAATTCAAGGTCATCTAACAAAAAGAAGAAAGTGCACAAGTTGCTAATTTTTAATACTATAGCATCTACTATTATTAACACCTATTCCATGTTTTAATCAAATTGCTTTCTTTTCTTGTATCTTTCGCAGAGGCTTCAATGCCATTAAAATTGCTCCTGTCTTTGGCATACACATTTTTCGTGAAGGGAGAAATAGCCAACTTTGAGATCAAGGCTTCTTTTGGCATGGAGGCAACGGAGCTCTATCTTGATGTTAAATACACCACACTTGATGAGTACCTCAGCCAGTTTGTATCAAATTAGCTTAGATACTTTCAGATTAGCTCTACCAGATTTTTGCAGCAGTTTCTTTTGTGCTACTAGATTTTGTTCTTCTTCCAGATGAGGATTGTCATGAATGTGATTGAAATAAAATATGCCCTTAATTTGTATCCCGTCTTTTGTGTACTTGGCTTGAATTCTTCCAACTTGAAATCATCATCTGGTTGCCTCTGAGCATCCTTTCTTCATACTTACAACTACATAGTCGAGAAAGTTGGATAACGGTGCTAAATTCCGGACAATGTAAGACAAATCATATACTCCTCGTCTCCTTGGTCCCGGCCTAGGATCCGGAATTTCAGAAAATATTGAGATACACAGGCATAGTTCTGCTCATCTGATTGAGCTCCTTTGAGACCTGAGTTTTCAGGAAGTGGACCATTTCTTATCTAAACAGTTGCCTAAGGCCAAATTACTAAGACTTCCATACAAGAAGCTCATAGAAAACAAATCTGTAGCTATTTTGATGAACTTCCGAATTTGAGTCAAAAGTCTTGTGCTTGTAGATTTGATCTTGATGTTTCTCCACCCTTGTTCAACAGCTTTCATGAGAGTGATGTTTCTCCACAGTCGCAATTGGATTTGGATTTCATTGTTTTTATATATAAATTTGGAGATTGTATGTTATATAAAAAGATCAACATGAAACATGTTTGGAGGTTGTAACCTATTTGTTTAGGAATTAAGATTTCATCACCAAAATAAAAAAGAATATGTCATTACTAAGCTATTAAAGTCATGATTAAGCTTGCCATCACCTAGAAAATGATATATAAAAAATAATTTGAGAGCATGTGTATTCGTTTTGTGCTGATTAAAACAACTAAAAATGAGTTTTGAACCCCGATCAAAAAAAAATTGCAAAAGGTGATCCTCATACATTCCCTGTGGTTAAGCACTTTTTAAGATACACTGTTTGTAGATACACATCCTCACGCTTATTCTTGTCATCTACCTCTGTTGGAGTAAATACTACAGCAAAAAACCATGCTCCTCTGGTATACTAAACAACAAAAAATAGTAAAGATGTTTAGTATATACAGTATGGTTGATTCGGAAGTCCTTTGGTACACTAAACAACAAATGATCAAACATCCGAGTTCATCAATTTCCCAAATGCCAACCATGAATATGTGCAATTTCAAAACTGAACTAAAAAAACCTTCCTCACCACGGACCACTGTATGTCACAGGGATGGAGCTATCATAAGGTATTTTCTTTACCCATTCCCTTTCTTTATAGTAACATATTTTTTTTAACTAAACTTGTTCTTATTATTTCATGCATATAAGTCATATTACCTATTCTTGCAGACAAATCTCCACCCTCTTCATTTTCTTTGTAGATTTACAGGTAGTTATATCTGTATATTTTTGAGGGATTTGCAGGTAGTTATACATTATAATTTGCATTATCGGTAGAAGCATGCGTATAAACTAAAATACCAGACTTAAACTATTACCAGGTTCTCCAAAGTCATCGGCGGCATCTTTCCTCTCCATACTGCTGCCAAGTTCCTCCTCTGTACTTACTGATATTCTCATCCCTTTAGCTGACATATTCGCATCCAAACACTCAAAGATCTGAAATACTGCAAAGAGTATTTAACCATATAACTGGTCGACATCTCACAGAACATAAATGTGACTTAACTTGAATTATTAACCTATTTAGCTTTACATACAGAACAAGACATGTAAGAAAATGTACTGCAGTTACCGGTGACAAGATACTAAGCTGATTTTTACACTTTACACCCTCTAGATGCAAGCAGGCTTTCCCATTGAGATAGTTCATATATATAAAATTGTACGAACCGATCAGATCAACCAAACCCCGAAAAAAAATATGATGGTGAAAAATATCATTCATGCTGATTCTGCACAAGTTCGGTTGCATAAGTATATAAAAGCCAAAGGCAATTGTCTTCAAGAACTGCATTTCACTTAACTGCAATTTCTCTGCTAAAAATCACATCAGACAATTACGTCAGAATTGCTCCCAAACTCGAGTATTCTGCCCCTAGACCGTTGTACAATCAATTTCTGATTTATCCTTGTGCTAATTGTCACTCTTTTGAACAAGATTTCATAAATTAATACAGCTATCAAGATGGAACCTAATTAGAAAAAAATTTCTAATCCAAGATGCATTCTTCTAAAATCAAAAGTGCTAAAAGTCAATCAGATTTTGTGCAAATCAATGGAAAAAAAAAAACCATAAAGAATAACGACAGATCACCACCAGCTAGACCAGATGCCATTTCTGCGCCAGTTTTCATGAGAAAACTGTTTACCTAGAATAGCCATGCATAAAAAATTCACCAATGAATAACTTTAACTCCTTCATGGATGGCCTAACAAACCTACATGTCTGGGTACGTGTACGGTGGAAGATGCAGAATGTACTGGGCTTCAGCCGCAGGGATTAGAATGTCTTATGGCAGGAACTTGGGGCAACGAACCCCAACATTTCAATTAAGAGCCCTTCCATCAAAGTCAATATATAAGCCCAGGGTCCCAAACAACGACCAAAGTGTTCTCCACTGTCAGTTTATCAAACACTCTCATAACACGTAAATACCTATAAGCTACTAAAGCACCATAAATTTTAAGTCTACTGAAATATGTAAAACTTAAACTTCTAATGAATACCTCAAGATCCTAAAATGGTTACCCATTCTTCGAAGTAGGTAACCTCAATATTCAGCCAAGTTCCCATGATAGTGTAAATCTAATCTTCCCTTAAACTCTTTATTGGTTACATCAGTCGTGAATAGAATGTCCTAAGAAAACATTCAGTTTGAAGCCCTAAGAAAACATTCAGCACACACAGCTTTTATAAAAACTCCATTAAGTCAAAAGAATAGAATGTCGCAAGCACTAGATGCACACCTTCCCATTCTCTGAGTTGGTTCACTCTTTGCCTCCCTTTTGCAACACATAAAGGTCCAAAAAATAAAAACGATACAGGCTTTGCAGAGGACTTCAAATATAACTGAAACTCATTCATTTCATTCACATGGTAATAAGCCTCAGCAATGCTTGGCTTCTGGTGTAAATATATCCAAAAACAATTCCAAAAAGGCGTCTGCCACAAGTTTTTAAGCTAACTCTAAATCATCCACCTATTATTTGGTTCCTTATAGCCCTAGAATAGTGCAAAATCTCATGCTTATACAAGTTCCTTTAAGTATGAACAAAAGACAATTATCCAAAGCTGCTGCAATGAAGAATGCCTTTCTATTGTTGAAAGCAAAAATGATGCTTACATATCTACTACTCAAGACCTCGTGCTACATGACTCACAATCAGCCATATAATACATGCACAGAATATCTGATGTCTCAAATGCCTTACAAAATTGGACTCATGATTTTCTCCTCCAAGAATTATGATCACTTAAGACCATGTCATTCTCTAGAGAAATATAATCATACCCTTATTTATTTGCTTTTATATTTATAAATTTTTTTCTTACAGTAGAAAATATTGCATATCTTCTATCTATTGTTTTTGTTCTATTTTCAAAGCAAACAATGCAAAGCTTCTGTATTAGTAAGGTGAATTTGTTCTTAGCCGAAATGAGTTAACTTATGTACAAGCTTAAGCTAACTACGTATCCATAAGCCTCTTCAAATTTGAGGAAAATGGTAACTCTTTCATATATATACACTGGAAAGATATGGGTGACAAAGAACTTAACCAGTGTTGCATTTTGGATGAAGAATCATGTCAGTTACTCAAGAAGGCACTGCAGACTTAAATGGAGTCACTTGATTGAATCAAGTGACAAATGACAGAGTGAGCAACACAAGGTGAATAAGACATGTAAACAAGGAATAAACCATACTAATCTGTGACCTAACAATGCACTAATTACAGATAAATGGATGAAGCGGAAGATCAAAAGCAAAAAAGATTCCAGTTACTAGACTCAGATGTTAATAACCTATTGGCAGGATTATTGACATCTTATCCTTCTGTTTGTCTGCCAACTGAAATCTTAATCAAGTTTAGAACCCAAAAATCATAAACGTTTTTCCTAGACTAAGTTCAACAGATGGAAACTGTGTCGACTGCATTATTCTCTCAGTTTTCTCTCAAATGAAGGCTATTAGCATTACACTTCAGTTCCGAACACTTCTCAAGTTTAAAACAGTAAACAACTTTAGTTTGTTTGTTTTTCCCCCCTCCTTAATACCTAACACATTTGAACAAGACAATATTTCTGTACCTACCTGCTGCATAGCTCCCCACTTCTCCAAACTTCATAAGTTTTATCTATTAGTCGCCATCCCATTCGCTGTTTACTTATGCTTGATAATTCAATATCTCTTTGTTTAGAAACCAATTCCATAACACTGCTGCTTTTCATCTTACACCAAAACATTTACAGCTGCAAACACATTATATAGGCAATTCAAGTCCACTACAGTCTTGTTCACTTACAAATATCCCAAGTTACCAAACTTGGCCAGAAATTAAGAATCCCACAAAACCAACTTCAATAAACCAATTCAACAGTCCTGATTCTTAAGTCAGCATGAATTTTCTTTTTGTCTAAAATTTCCTTATTTTGACATTGAAAACTGGAAAGAACTAAAACCAGCAGAAGTTATTACCCTTTCAAGAATTGACGTGGCTTCTTTTGTTGCACTCTTTTCCCTCTCCGCATAACAAAGAAAGCATTTTTTTTTTCCAATCACCATATTGCCCATACTAACCCAAATATTGAAATTCAAATTTTTCAAAAACCCGGATGCAAATTCCATAAATAAATGCGAATGAAGTACGAAATAACAAAACAGAAAATTTAAAAAAAAATAACTTTCTGCATAGGAGGGGAAGGGAGGCCTTACTGATGGGGCAGGAGATAGGAAGCCGGAGTGGGAATGATTGAGGAGAGAAGAAGGGGCGTTGTTGTCAAAACGATGAATTCTGATCATTCACAGCAGAGTGCTGCTCTCAGGGCTTCAGCTCCTCCTTGGTTTTTAGTTTCACTCTGACTACTTCTTCTGCTCCTCTTTGTGTTGTCCGAAGCATTTCAGCCATTTAAGTTCCAGTATTTATCTCCCCT